TCACTTGGTAGCCCAGGCTGGCCTCGAACTCACAGAGATCCACCTGCCTCTGCCTCCCGAGTGCTGGGATTAAAGGCGTGCGCCACCACTGCCCGGCCTCCAAGAAGGAATTTTAAGAGACCCGTTCCCTGAAACTTTTATTTACATCTAAGAAACTGAAATCCAGTGTCCTGAAAGGGCTGGTCTAGGAATAAGAATGTCTTTACTCCTGACTCCCAATCTAACTTCTTTTCTCTACAGATTTATTACATACATGAAATGCTACTGCCTCAATTTGATTTGTTTTATAATAAGAGAAGGCAGTATAAATTATGCACAAAGTAAAGAATAAAATAAGAGCAAAACTGTTGGGAGGCCCTGATGGCCAGAGGCTGCAGCCTACCATAGGCTGGCAGCTTTCTCTAAGCTGGGTAACATGGAGGACTTCTCCCTCCCCCGCTACAGTGAGACTTCCTGCTCTCTACCTGCCTTTATCTGGAGATCTCCCTAAGCACAGAGGCCTGACCTCTGAAAGCTGTCTCTAAGCCTGGATGCCTGGTTTATCTCTATCATGACCCTTGGCACAGTTCCCCCGCTGGAAGTCTTTCTTTCCTCCTGCTGCACACCTGGTAACTAAGACTTGAACTAGGAGCTTTGCTGTAGGACTAACTCAGCCTTATGATAGGAGCCTGCCACTTAATGCAAATTAGGGTTTGTCCCCAGGCTTCCCAATCCTACATATTCTCTATATTCTGGAATAAAGCTGAGCTGATTTGCCAAAGTCATCTCCCAGAGGGCTATCTCCGTCATATCCACAGCCATCTGAAACCAGTTTCCTGCTTCTGCTCCCTCCTCCCTCATGGAACCAAGGCAGTCAATGATCCAGAGGAAGCAGCAGAACCACACAAAACTTAGAAAATTTAAATCCAAGTACAAAAATACAATGTTTTTTGATCTTCTAATCATGCACAAAAGTTAAGGCTAGTGACCACCACATCCCTTAGAGAAAAAAAAGAAGGAAACTATGTAGTCACCCATCTAATGATCTAACTTAAAAAGAAGAGGAGGAGGGGAGGAGAAGGGGAGGAGATGGGAAGAGAAAGGAAAGGATCAGCTGCATGCAAATAGCAAACTGGACTCACCCACATAACAGTAGTGTGGTGATGTGAATGAAAATGGCCCCTATAGGCTCAGAGGGAGAGGCATTATTTGAAAGGATTAGGGCATGTGCCCTGGTTGGAGCAGGTGTGGCCTTGTCAGAAGAAGTGTGTCACTGGGGTGGGCTTTGAGGTTTCAGAGGCTCAAGCCAAGCCCAGTCAGTGGCTCACTTGCCTTCCTGCTGCCTGTCAACCCAGATGTAGGACTCTCAGCTGCCTCTCCAGTAGCATGTCTGCCTGCACGCCGCCATGTTTCCCTCTTTATAAGAGTTGTAATGGTCATGGTGTCTCTTCACAACTAAGACAAGCAGTAATAAAAAGCAATGTCTTCCAATGGAAGAAGGCTTACTAGAAGCAAAACTTGGGGGCCCACAGAATGTCTCAACAGTGGGCAAAGGTGCTTGCTGTGAGTTCAATTCCAAAAGCCACATGATGAAAAGAGTCAATTCCCACAGTTGCCTCTGACCTCCACACATATGCCTTGGCACACATTCACTGCCCCCCACACACACGATGGATGGATGGATGGATGGATGGATGGATGGATGGATGGATGGATGGATAGGTAGATAGATGATAGATAGATAGATAGATAGATAGATAGATAGATAGATAGATAGATAGATAGATAAGACAGACAGACAAGACAGACAGACAGAAAGACAGACAGACAGACAGAGTGAAGCAATGTTTCAAAGCAAGATTTGAGCTAAACAATCTAGGAAATTAAAAAGATCCCTAGAGAGAGGTCAATTAGATGGGGAAAATGCTTAAGACAAAGTGGAGTCTGAAATGTGCAAAATACACACAAAGGCTGCTGATGCAAATGTTAGGAGAAAAAGAGTGAGATGAGACTCTGAATTTTTATTTCATACTGCTTGCCCAACAGGTATCCAACAATTTACAAGTAATGTATAGACAAGCAACAGACTACTACAGGAACCCACACATAATTCAGTTTAAAGACTACTATAAACAACTTAGTATAGAGAATATGACATTAAGAGGGGAATGATGACAATCCCATGGCTTTTATACTAGGTAGCAGAAAATCACATTTTTTTTTTAAATTAACTTATTTATTTGGGTGGGAATGCCTGCCTGTCTGCCCGCCACGGGGCATGAGCCCACACATGCCTGCCACAGCATATGCATGAGAATGTCAGAGGACAACCCGAAGGAACTGCCAAACTCTACCAGAGAGTGCGCAGGGTCTTGAGAGGTGGCTCAGCAGTGAAGAGTACAGACTACTCTTGCAGCAACCCAAGTTCGTTCCCAGCTCCCGTATCGGACAGCTCAATCATCTGCAACTCTAGCTCCAAGGGAGCCTATGTCTTCTTCTGGACTCTGTGAGCATCTGCATTCACACTTGCACACTCCATGGGATTACAAGTAAAGGAAATCCTCTTTTAAAACAGGCAAACTTAAGCAAGGACAGCTCCAGATGCCATTAAGTACAAGTCAAAAACCTCATATTTATAATACAAAAATATCCGTGCCACTTCAAAGACCAGATAAATATCTAATACCAACATTCAAATATTATAAGAGTCTCAATATCTACTAAGACAAAGTCCAGACCAGCCCTCTTATCTCCCCAAATGGAGAGAATTCCTCCGCCCTCTCTCACCGCCCACAGGCTTCTCCTTGAGTTTAGTCACTCAGAAATCCTTAAATCCACCAGGGGGCAGAACAAGGATAAAATGAAGATGGCAAAATTTAGGGTGCATATTAAAAGTATGCCAAGAAGCCTAATAAAATAATGAGGAATCTCTATAAAGATCATATAAAGGTATTCATGCTGAAGAAAACAGCATGAATACCTTTACATTAACATGACTGTTTTGTTCCTAACACATCCAGTTTATTCCAACCAACTTTTACCTCCAAGTTCTGTAACAAGTAAATGTGAGAAGGGAGAAGACTTGACAGTGGTGGTGCACACTTTTAATCCCAGCACTCAGAAGGTAGAGAGGCAGATCTCTGTGAGTTTGAGGCCAGCCAGGGATGTTGGGGGGGGGGGTGTTCTCAGAACAAGTTGGGGGGGGGCGGGAGGGCACAGTAGCTCCCATCTGTAATCCCAGCACTTAAGGAAGCTAACAAGCGTGATCACTGTGGGTTTGAGGCCAGCCTGGGCTATATCCTAAATTTCAGAACAGCCTGGGCTATGACTTGAGGCCGAGACTTCATCTCAAAGCAGGAGAGGATGTGTTGTAAAAGTAAGTTTTATGCATTTGGGGTTAAGGAATGGAGGAAAAGAGGCAGAGTGAGAACTATAAACGGATGAGGTGGGTGGGAAAGCTAGCGGTTCTCTTTCTAAAGGCAGCGTGACCTGCCCAGTCATCCAGGCATCCTCCTCACTCTGCAGCATTTCCACCTTCATGCCCACCAGGAAGCTAAGATCTCAGGCTCCGCTATAGCCACGGTTTCTACACCCTCATTCTGTCTGTCCACTACCACTGTAGTTCCCCGTCATGCAGCCTTCTTTATGACAAGTACCTTCCAGCAAGTTTCCCTGCCCCTTCCAGAATGTTTCACTAGGTTACCAAATTACTCAGCTTTGGGTGCATCT